AGTTAAAACTCTGGTCTTCCTAACTCCATGAGAAATGATAGTTGTGTAACCTTCAAATTGCCACAGAAAAATTAGTGGGATGTAAGCTGCTTTTCAAGGTGGCTGAGAGTTATTTACAATTATAACTTTCTTGACCTTGACTTCAGTGGTAATATTTGCCTCTTTCTTCACTTCCAAATCACCGTTCCTCATAGCTTGCTCTTTAGGTCCAGCTGTGTTTGACAACGTATTTCTGTGTAAGTCCAATGAAAACTTGTTTGTTTCTTTTAAAAATAATAATAAAAATCCCCCTCATTCTGCCCTGCTTTACCTGCTTCAGGGCAGAAGCCTGCTGGTGATGTCTTTATAAACTAATTTACCTGTGTGTTTTAGGAAAGGGAACAGTAACAAAAGGAGTGGCAGCTTCAGACTTTATCTAGACATGTGTTACTAATGGACATCAGGATTGAAAGGAACTTTTGGGCGACTTAATTATGTATCATTAAATCAGACTGCAGTTAGCTCTGTTCACCAAGCTAACCCTGCACTGAGCAGAGTTCGTATGCTCACGTAAACCTCTCCCTGCACATGACCGTGCATAACCGTGTTCGTTAGGACTAAAGCAGGTAGAGACTGTTTCCCTTTTAGAAGTTGTGGTGTGAGCAGGGAATGTGAAATAAAGATATAACTGCTGGTAAATTTTCAAAGCCATCCAAATGGGAGTGGGTAAAGTTCTATGCAGTGCGCTTAGGGTTAATACAGCTGTATCAGCTCCGAGCCCAGTGCTGCGCTGTGATCAGAGCTCCCTGCTATTGGCTGAGAGCAGGGGAGGGAAGCAAAGGAGAAAAATCCACCGCTTAATTTAGGCAGTGACGAATGGGTTGCTGTGCAGGATGCTTCACTCCTGGATGTCTGGGGTGATGCAGATGCTAAAAAGGGAAATGCATTTTCTCGTTGCATCTTTACAAGCAAGGTGTCATGGATGGCAGCTCACCCTGGCCTACATCTATGAGTGAGGCTGCTTCAGGAGCTTGGGGGGGTGGGGGCTCTTAATCATATACAATATTGTAGTGCTGTGCTACTTTCCCTTGTCCTGTCCCCCCGCTTTTCCATGCTTTTGGGCTGGCTGACTCCACATCACAGCCCTTTTGTCCAGGCATTGGCATTTGCTTTTGTATCTGGACACATCAAATATGACACCCTTCTGGGCTATTTTATTCCAGAGCTGTAGCTTAAATATGTTAGGATATATCTTCAGATTGAGCAGGCCCAAGACAAAGCAGGTACGTTTAAGCATCTCTGGCAGAGGACTGTGTAAGAAGCTTTTGCTTGGCTAAAAAATGGTGCTGTCAGCTAATGTTGTTATGAGAGAGAGTGAATTCAATTTTTACACACAGTGTCTGAGCAAGCGGACATTGCTTGTGGAGCCTGCAGCTGCTGGCGTCACAGGCAGCCCAGGGAGGCTGCATCGTGATTTGAGTAACTGTATGTCCAGTGCTCTAAGGCACAACAATTTATTCCCTGCTTAGGATGGATTTTTGGGGAATACACTGTTTTCCTGACATTTCTGGATAACCTTCTAACGGTCGGGTCCTTACTGAAGTCATACTGCAGTGCTTTTATTGAGAAATGGCTGTCATACAGCTGAAGATTCTGGGTGTGGACACAACACATGAACATGTGTTACTTCCCGTTTCTTATGAGAATTGGTGCCATGGAATGTCTAGTCTTAAGCCTTCCTTCAGCTCAAATGTAATTCCACATAGTGTTTTTATCATATACTTTTCATAAGTGCATATAGGAACTGTACTGCTCACTCTGCATTTTAACCAATACGCTGCGCTTTCTTCTTCCTTCTTTTTGTTATACTGGCACAGCTGAATGTGTGGATGTCCATGGAATTGGAGTAGGGAAGAATCCAGGTTATATGACCAAAAGAAAGCACAAGAAAGCTTGGGATCAAGGGGCGCAGTCTGTTAGGCCCGGGTATGAAGCCAAAGAGAACCATGGCGGGAAACGTTGCACAAAATTTTGGGAAGCATTTTCAGATTTTTTTTTTTTTTTTTTTTTTAGTACATGTCTGCTCTGGCGTATGGTTATGGACCACTAGTTTTACCTCGTGGTCCTCTTGTTTGCAGCATGCGCTGGTTATAGGTTAGGCTGATGCAGATTGTGCTTAGTGTGATACTGAGATCCTGCCTGCATATGCTGTGTGCTGATGACATTCAGCCAAAGGCTTTAATGTGCCTCATGCAGGCTTGAGATCATAAATGGCTTTTATCTGTAGAATTTGGATGAACAAATGGTCTTTTCTTAGCCCAGCCTAGCCTTACTTGCTTTCTATTTTAGGAGATAATGATAACTGCTAGCTTTTCATGTACATACCCAACTGTTTTGCCAGAGTTAAAATAAGGTTTAGTTAAAAGCCATCTCAGCCCAATAAGACATACCGGGCTATTAGTTTACTTTGATTCTAGACATTTGACATATCAGTGATATTAACAGAATGGAAATAATGGTGTTAATTTACTCTTGCAAAACACTTCAGGTAACCCAGAAAGAGTAAGTAAATGTCCTTATTGCTATAGAATAATAAAAGCATGTTATCAACCCCTTGTATCACACATGAGCACAAGAGTAAGTGTGGTGACACCACCTTTGGCTTACAAGAAGCACTTAAGCAGGTAGAGATACTTCATGGATCCCTACTTCCTCTGTGTAACTCATTTTGGTACCAATAGAGATAAAGATACTGGACTAGACAGACCTTTTGTGTAAGGCATTTTTCTGTTCTTACTGCTTCAAAAATTCAGTTAGAAGCAAAACTAAGTGCTTTAAAGATCTCTTTCTTGGTTCCATAACTGAGAAATTTCAGCTTCCTGGAAGCTTCTTGGATAAAGCTGAAAAAAAAGTGGGGGAAATAGAGCAGATTTTTTGAGGCATTAATGTAACAGTGAATATATCACAGTTTGGCAGGATCCCAGGTCAGGAATATGGAAGCTGGCACACTAGGGAGAAGCAGTAGTGCTAGGAAGCTGAGAAATGGGTGCTGTTTAAAGCTGCAGTTCAGCACCCACTGAGACTGGAGTTGTTGCAATCAGAAGGCAAATTGCATAGTTTCAGATTTAGCCTAAGAAAATACAGGCTGGAAGAGACCTCAAGAGATAATGTAGTATCCTCCCAAAGACAAGATCAGCATACCAAAGCGATCCTGACAGATCTTTTGCTTGTCCCCTCCTCAGCCCCATGCTGGAAATTCCAGAGCCTCCCTCGGTGACCCGTTCCATTTGTTACGGAGTGGCATGGAGCCTTGAGCTGGCACGGAAGAGCACAGGGATCCATTACATGCTGTCAGTGCCTGTCATTTCACGATTTCAATTTGTAACATTTGTCCTCTAGAGCAAAGTCCTGGTATTAGGACATATCAGGGTCGCTTTTCAAGTCCAAGTCATGTCAACAGTCTGTGACTTGCATTTTATCACAAGATACCATAGAGCTTAGTCCCATTTTTTAAAGGGATTTGAGAAGAACACCGCTGACGGAAAGAGGGACATGCTGCAAGTGGTGACCTGGATAGCAGGAAAGCATAGCATGTATTTGGGGCCCTCTTGGCCCATTATCTGGGAAACAAAAGTCAGGCTATTTGGTATAAAAGAAGTGTCTCTCCTCTCATTATCAGTTGTGATAATAAACCTGGACTCACCCTTTTGCAAAGTGTGATGTTGCCTGGGCTGTAAACCCATGAGGAGGTGAAGGTTTTCAGGCTGTACCTGTTCAGTCAGCTTGAGCAGCGCAGCAAGGATGCTCTTTTCCCTGGTGCCTTAATGGCTTTAACTGCTCAGATTGCTCTGCTCCTGTTGGTCTTGGTTTGTTGCTATTTGTTGATGTTGCAGGTGTGTGGAGAGGATACATCCACCAAAGCAACACCAAGTTTGGGGATAATAAATATGGAAAATCCTTTGTTCCAGGCTGTCTCCTCTGTGGCTTCCCTGTGTGCCTCAGCTGATGGGCACTCCCTTTCTGCTTCACTGGTCTTCCAGGCCTTCCCTTCCGTCAGTCCCTCTGTCCCCTGAGGCTGGGCACAGAAGCTGCAGCGCAATCCTTGCAGTTCAGTGCAGTCTGCCACATCAGTCTCTTCAAATTTTACTATGTGCTGAACTGCCCCTTACGAGGAAAGCTCTCCCGAGTATTTTATGTTTGAAGGGAGAGGAATAGGAGCTTGGGGCTGAGCCGAAGATTTTTTGATGTGACAAAGATGTTGTGACATCCTCTGGGACAGAGGGCATTTGGTGCTCCTGGCTTTGGGTTTGCATTCTGCCATCAAAGAGTCTTTCAGAATCGCAGTGAAAAGTGAGTGTCGACTACGAAGGTAATACCAAAATCCCTGAGTGAGAGTCTGTACACTGATTAGGGACCATGAGAACTACAGTTTGCCACGCCTGCAGGTGGAAGACAATATGCCCTGCCATGGCAGCCTTCACTGCTGTCATACTGCTGTCACCTGTGCTGTCACCTCCCCCTGGTCCCAGCTGAGATGTGCCACCGCCCCTGAGCTGGGTGGACATGTTGGGCTTTGCTGCCGCCCAACGGGGAAGTGCAGCAATCCTGATGATGCTTGCTCAGGCCTCCTTTTTAGCTTCATGTATGCAGTCAAGATCTCGCTAAAAGCAAAACAAGAAACAACACTGATCGCTTTAGAAGACAGGAACTTCCTGCAGTGATGATTTTTTGTAGCTCGTTCCTAACAAAATCTGAAGTTTGTACAGAGCTTGCCTGACAATCTGTGAATCATAAACAGCATGAAAAACAGAAGAGGTACTTTCCCTCTTCTACTAAGTATGCCTCCAATGGCAAAGACAATCTTTGTACAGGACTCAGGATGTGTTTGAGGAAAGGAAGATGTAGCTTTGCATTGCTGTGTAACTCCCTGTTAGTTATCAAGTGTCGCAATGAGCGGGTGGTTAATGAGGGTTAATGAACCAAGTAACTGACAACAAATGCATTTGTTTGTTTATTTGCAGATTGTGCTGGCTGTGGAAGAGACATAAAAAATGGACAAGCATTGCTAGCTCTGGATAAGCAGTGGCACCTGGGGTGCTTTAAGTGCAAGGCCTGCGGGAAGGTCCTAACTGGGGAATATATCAGCAAGTAAGTAACCTCTACATCTCTTCTGCACTCCTGGCATGAGTTCTTGTTCCCAATGGAGAAGAGCTTTCAGCAAAGTTCACCATTTGAAATCCAGTTTTGACCACCATCCATATACACCAAAATCTTTGCTCCCAGTGAGAGCTGAGCTGGGAAGGAAAAGTAAGCTGAAAAGTACAACTGAAAGGTGGTGTTTAATGATAGTAGTCTGTATTTAATATTGGTACGGAAAGAGGTGTATCTCCATGTCCCCATAAAGGATTAGGTGAATTCCTGCATGTGTTTTCTGCGTTAGACAGATAAATCTTTGTGCCATTTTCTTTCCAACATGTGATTTTGAGGAAAGAAAGTAAGAACATGTCCATTGCTTGCCTTTGCTAGAGAACAGAGTTAATGTGATTATGTGATTGACCTGATGCTGTGTTTCTCATCTCCATATAAGAAACTAATGAAGAGAGTTTTGACCAGAAGGAGGCGTAGAGGAAAAGAATGGGGAAAAGTGGTGTAATGATAACATAGAGGGAATGAAGATACAGTCTCTGTTCCCCCCTTCAAGCATATAACAAAGAAAAAATAGGGAAACAACGTAGGTTTCACAAACCTGTCATTAAGGGCTTATTAATATTTAATAAGTTAATTAATATTTAATAAAAAGTAGCATCTGTAATTTCTCAAAATAAATGCTCCTAAGCTGATTAGTGTTTCCACTTTTACTGTATGTTGCCTGTTCATACTAAAGAACTGCATACCCTTACACTTAAAAGTAACTTATACTCTTGCAGACTACCAAAGATTTTTGGCTTAAGTGAACAAAAAATACCTGCCTATGATAAAGACTGTGATCTCCTCTCATCCCCATGGACCTATGTCTGAATTGGGGACCTATCCCTAGAATTGCACCACCTGTATGTGTAAAGAGTCTGTTCTAAAGAATGAGATTTATTTCAGTGGTTTGCACTGGATGAATTTTCTTGATGTGAATTTAAGGAGTAATTCTAAGAGGCACTAATGAGAATACGATTTTTTTTTTTCCTTCTACTGCAAAATATTTCCCTTGTTCTCTCCCACTTACCTATTGCTGTGTGTAGGAGTTCCAGACTGAAGACAAGGGAAGACTGTAAGTCATGCTGTACCCTGTTTATTGAAAGATAGCTTGTAATTTGTGGATTTTCTTTTTCAGAGATGGTGCTCCTTATTGTGAAAAGGACTATCAAGTTCTTTTTGGAGTCAAATGTGAAGCATGTCACCAGTTCATTACTGGGAAAGTCCTAGAGGTAGGTGTATTGTAAACTAGAGTTTAAGAATTGGGCAATGTCCCATTATGCCCACATGTAACTGCAGAGAATGCAAATATTCTCAAAGTTTTTTCTGCTGGTTTTTAGCTGCAAAGTTGCTAATTTTCAGGAATACTTTCACTGTTTCAGCTTTGCAGTCATCAGGAAAAGTATGTGATAGGGAATTAGTTCCACTAGTTTCTATGGACCTGTAGTTTCTATTTTTCTCTTTTAATGGTCATGTGCAAAGTTTACTGCACTGCTTATTCTGTTTCAGATTTGATATATTTATAGAGGTAATTTCAGTATTGGAATCACCTTTGGCAATCATAAGTTTGCCAAAACTTCTGACATGACATTTCTTTTTAAATGAGGCCAGATGATCTGAATGATGCTGAGAAGGTGAGGAGGAGAAATTTGCTGGAGAGGTAAATTTTACGTTCAGAAATGAGAAGGCAGAAAACATCTGAACCATCTCTTTTGTTGACTCATAGTTGGAGTCCTCAACATTTTCATGGAAACTGGTCAAATCTTTTTAGAGATGTGTATCTCTTGTTGTCAGTACTGATCTCCATCTCCCATGGCTGTGATGAGTCCCCTTTGAGCTGGAATCCTTGAACTGTGCATGGATCACCTTTTGTCATCGTTGACATGTTTAAGGGACACAATGTAGAGGACCTTCCTTGTCACACTGTCATTGAGACATGAGAAGCAAAACTGTTCTCTCCTTTCCCTGTAGGAAACTCTGTTCAATGGAAAGAAACTAAGCTTTGAGCTCAGGTCTGGAGCTGGGCTGTATGGTTTGACTCCAGCTTTAGTGATTTTTAATAGTCCATTTTTCCTGGAAAAAAAGCCTTTACATAATAAAGCTTGTGGAAAAAAATGGGGAACCACAAAGAACTTCAGTTTCAGGTGTATTTTGTGAACAACTGGACATACTGTATGTTTTACAGTGAATAACACAAAATAAACTTGAAAGTGCTAGACATAAAAGCAGCTGGAATTTGCTAGTGAATGTGTATTACAGGTTCTTTTCTTTGTGTCCCATGTACTACAGATAGAAGACTGTGTCAGCCCTCATATGAAAAGTCTTAGGTTTGACGTAAAGTGGTAACAGCTTGTGGTTTTAGTTCTGAAGACTTCTCTGGTTCAGTATTCAGAACATTAACCAGGATGGTAGCTGCCAAATGAGGGACTCGGAACGTGTGTGGACACCCGTTGTATTTGTCACTGCATCTACTGGAAGGAGGTAGTTTTTTAATTAGCCAGACTCTTAGTCTGCCTTCTTTGCAATGTGTATCTAATTCCTTTGGAGACCCGCATAGATAATTAGTGAGAACAGTCTGAGTTTTCCCTTGAGTAGGAAGGCTGTGTCTCTGGCTTTAATCTAGTGGTCTGCTACCATCTGCTTATCTATTCCTGTCTACTGATGAGTTTTTCAGTTTAGTAGTATGTATTGGTGACACCACAATTGCATTCCAGTGCAGGAAGCACTGCAGGAGAGAAGTAATTGGATTTGTGACATTGGGAATTCTAAAATTATTTAGATTCACATGATAGGTGCTCTAACCTACAAGCAATGCAGCCTATTCAGAGGTATGGAGATGAAAATTATAAAAGAGAAGGTTATTGGAGTCTGTGGAGAGCTGGGAAGAAATAAGCTATTCCTGTTTGGAACCTTTTGTGTAGTGGGTGTGACTATAGCAAGGTTGCACTCATGTTATTCTTCCTAGCATTAGTGAGAAAGTAACCTAGCTTTTTGAGAACATCATGAGCTGCAACCTTTCAGAACTAAGTTGAGACTAAGGAAAGATTAGTTCAATTGAACTGGAACTTCACTGTCCATCATAATCCAAGCTAAACTTCAGGTTATCAGAGATGATGTGTCCTGGGTAGAACCTTGAGCTAGAACCTCATTTTGGCCCCAGCGTTGGTTTCTCACTCCATAGTTCTTACTCTTCTGATGGTTATTTATTATCGGAAGAAGAGACAACTTTTTGCTGAAACAATGAAACACGTCCAACCTCTTGCAAGGATCCACCAAAACCAGATAAAGACTTTTCCATTTGACCTAGCCCCTGCAGAATCAGAATATGCTGATGAATTAGAAACAGATCCTTTGAGTTATTTTATCAATGCATGGAAATATTAATCATGCTAAGTTCTGGGTAAGACTAGAAATTTTGCTTCAATATTTGTGGCTCTTTGATTATTAGAGGCACAACCCATAATAATACAGTAGAGGGCAGCAGTAGTTCTCAATATGTAACTAAGACCAAACTCCTCTAAAGTCTGTAGAAGTTGAATTACTCACACAGTGCAACTCTTTCCTGATCTGTTTAAATGACCTTTGGAGTCTGACTGCTATCTGAAAAGTGTAGGTTGGACACGTCCTTGGTAACTTTCACCAAAAAACTTAGTACTGTGTAGTCAGGGAGGCCATTCAGACCTTGGCTTAACTGCCTTACAGTATGTATTAGCAGCCTGGATAGTCCATGGATAGAATTCTCCAGGTATCATTTGGGAATGCAGATGCAGGAAAGGCATTCAAGCACTTTCTGTCATTAGGTGGTGCTTGAAAAGATTAGAAAATACAGGTGAGCAGCTAACATTCAATAATCAGAGCAATTTATCAGAACCATGGGCTAGTTTCTTGGCTCGTCCTAGAAACCTTTTACACTGTCAGAGATGCAGAGTTCCAAATGGGCAGTACTAATGCCTCTAAATTAGACTAAAGGAACTAATAAGTCAAAATTTAGGATGAGAAAATCATGTGTCAGCACATGTGTCCCCTTTGGGCAGAAAAGGTAGTCTAAAGGATGGGGTCAGAGCATGGCATAAATCCTCTGCTAACAGCAGAGGTGAGAGATTGGAAGCAGCCGCAGGGCCATGGAAGGTAATTCACAGAACAGGACGCCGCAGTTCAGGAAGGGCTGCAGACCTGTTTGAGGCAGGACAACTAACAATCTCCTTATCCAGTACAGGAAAGCACCCACTCCCTCTCAGTACACCTGAAGTTTTAATTTAGATGAAGATCGAGATTCTCATAGGAGGATTACTGTCTTCCCTCCTTGATTTCTTTGGCAATGTTTCTTTAGCAAATATGCGTAATTTTGATTACTTATATCACATGGGTTGTCTCTTGTCCTGCTGCCTCTCTTGGGAAGGAAACCGCATTCTTGGTGTGATGTAGCACAATTACAGGAATGGTCTAGGTAGAGGTTATGCCATCACTGACTAGCCCAAGTTCTACCTATGAATGTCCGGAGGGGAAAAAAAAAAAACCCACTTTGTATTTTGCCTTCGTAAATAAAAATGGTACTAGTAAATTCACTGATCAGTATCTTTCATTTTATTTGTCAATAAAATAATTTGTCAGGAGTAGAGTATACTATTTTGTTGCCTTCATCCAAAGAAATGATTAGAAGAGAGGGGAGTATATAGTACGTTGTATAGAAACACTTCCCTCTAATGGATCAGAAGCGATTAGCAGCCTGTCATTGTAGTGCTGCTTTATTTTCTGCTTATTTGCATTCAATCTGTGACAGTGTATAGAAAAACTTTAAAACGGAAGGGAAATGAAAGCATGAAACTTAGCTCTGGTTCACGAGGCTGGTGGTATCTATTTTCCCAGTAAGAGATCATTATTTTTTTAATGAAAGAGAAATTGAGATTCTTCTGTAACATTGCAGGCTTGCAGCTCCTGCTCATTTTGTCCATCAGGGTGTCTTAGCACCTCTGAAAAATCAGGTTTTCAGTCTTCTGCAATGAGCATCTAGCAGGAGAGACAACCACTCCCAATGTGGACCCAAGAGTCTTCATCTCAGAAGCAGCTATGCTATCCCCCTGGTAGGCACCCTCAGCAAAGCCCGTGAAAAAGGCCAAGGTTTGCATTCAAGCCTTGAGAGGATGGACTCCCTCCAGCCATTCTGTAGAGGTGATCCCTCTACTCAGTTAAGAAGTGCATTACTAGAAAAACAGTACTTATTTTGCTAATATTCAGATACTGTGGAAGAATGCTCTTTTTTTCTAGGCCACAGATCTAACAACTTTCAGTAGCCGTGAAAATATGCAAGAAAAATACCATGTGCATTTAAGTCATCTCAGATATTTCTCATCTATTATTTGGCACATAACTTTGTGACAAATAGTCACAGATGATAGATGAGTGCGTGCCAACGCAATAAATGTGATGAGTATCTAATATGAAATAGATATTGCAACTTTCGTGAGCATACTGGATACTCTTAATACTTGAGTATTTCAGGATAATGTTGTCAAGGCAACGGAGATTGTTGTTCTTCCTCGGGTTTCTCCAGCAGAAAGGAATCTTTATTTATGAAAAATTACTCATGTCCCATTAACTCTGGTGAAAAACATTTTTAATAACAGCATAGTGAGAACTTTCACATAGACTTTCCACTAAGCTGTTGTTTTCATAGCTTCAAGGCTTGCCTATCCGATCCTAATACTGCGAATTTCTGTGTTGATATGGTAATTCCACGAATCTAAGTAAACTTTAGCACATATTTAGCTATTTGAAAGATGCTAGCCTAAATAATTTTTGTCTAAGGTGGTTATCATACACAATAGAACTATTCTTCCAGGGCTTAATTCAAAATACGTTAAAACAATGAGAAGCTTTCCTTTGACTTCAGGGAATGGTGGATCATGCCTATATCCATGTAATTCATCTCTGTTTATCCAAAGTGTTTTACAAAACTTCCTAGCAGTAGTATTTTAGTTCTGCAGAAAGAAGACATCAGCACAGAAACAGGTGGATAATTTGCATGAAATCATACAGAAAGCCTGAGAATAAGATTCAGGTCTTAACGATTTTAATTTATTTTGGCTGTTACTGATATGAACAGGATTGGATCTCATGATCTAGAGATTGAGATGCATATATCTACTATCAAATCCCTCAACCATCCTGCTACTCAACCATTTATTTCTATACTACTACTTGTTTAATATTCATTTGCAAATAAAAAGCCACT